CAGGCTTATCCCAGGATGACACATTAAGATTGCCAGAGATGGCAAACCAAAGTGCAATTGTGTCACATTTAGCCAAAAACCTCTCCAATGCACTCTGTAACAGCTCGTTAAGAGCCAGAAAAATCAGGTGTGATGTTGAAGCGCCCATTCTAAAATCCCATTCTTCCTTTTAATTTTATTTTAAACTGTCCACTATTGTGGCTCTGCTTTGATCCGTCCACTATAGTCGTGGCCCTATTACCCCCACTCTCCCTTCTACCGGCGAGAGCAGAAAACCCACTTTTTGTCACAGATCCCCAATCTTTACCTTGAGGATTATTTGGCACACCCCCTGACTGCAGCAAGTTCTGGGCTCCACAGAGAGAGGTTTGGAGGTTCCTCGTATGGGCCTCCACTTGTCACACCCCACCTCGTCCAGCAAGGATGACACAACCACCGGAGCTCTTCCCACTGCAGTTTATTCCAGGACTTTATTCACTTTCTCTCTCTTTTCCCCTCTCTCCTCTCTCTTCGGGCAAACCTCTCCCAGCCCTTAGGTAGGCATGGGCTGCCAATCCCGGATTGCCAGGTGGGCACTGCCCATAGGCCCACGCATATGCAAGCAGCTGATAATCATTGCGTTATCACAGCATAGGTCAGGTCTTAGGCATCTCAGGAGTTGATTATACATCTCCATCAGGTGTGATTCCATGCAGATCGCTACATTTTGTCTTTTTGTTTTTCAAGACAGGGTTTCTCATAGATTCAATGCAATGCCCATCAAAATTTCAGCAAAATTCTTCAAAGACCTCGAAAGAACATTACTCAACTTCATATGGAAAAGCAAAAATCCAGGATAGCCAAAACAATCCTGTACAATAAAAGAATTTCTGGAGGCATCACAATCCCTGACTTCAAACTCTACTACAGAGCTACAGTACTGAAAACAGCCTGGTATTGGCATAAGAACAGATGGGAGGACCAGTGGAACCAAATAGAAGACCTGGATATTAATAATTTGCTCTTGAAGAAAATTCCCAGTCTTAAAGAACAACGGGAAGCTGGAACCCCAAAAGGCCCAGGCTTCTGCTCATGTTGTAACTGAGCCTCTAAGGTTTATGGCTTGGGGTAGGACAGCTGCGGAAGTTGATCTAAGAACTTGGATATTAAATTGCAACAAAAGCAGGGAAGGTTACTGCAACAAAGGAGCACTGCTTGGCATGTTGTCTGCATAGGTGGGTGAGGGAGAGGCCAAGGAGGCTGCTGCCATGACAACGTTTTCTTTGTTTTTATGTGAGATGCTGGGGATCAAGTCCCAGATATCGTTTCTGTTCTACCACTGAGCTCTATTCTCAACCCCACCAAGAATTTAGAAATCTTGGCCGGATGGTGGCAGTGCACGCCTTTAACCCCAGCACTCAGGAGGCAGAGGCAGGCAGATCTTGGTGAGTTCCAGGCCAGCCTGGTCTACAGAGTGAGTTCCAGGACAGCCAGGGCTACACAGAGAAACCCTGTCTCGAAAAAAAAAGTGAAAAAAAAAGAAATCTTATTGATAAGTAAGCCTTGCTGAGTACAATGACTTGCCAGAGTTTCCTATTCTGGTAAGTAAGAGAATCAAGAAACCTAAACTTTAAATCTAAATAAGTCTGACACTGAAGCCCTCTTGTGCTATCTGCAATGTATNTTTGGAAGAGCAGGCAATGCTCTTAACCTCTGAGCCATCTCTCCAGCCCCCTTATTGACTTTTAACAAAGTGGAGAAAAGGGCAGGACCTGAATTCTAAGTACATTGGAATGTGCATGATCTGAAAAGTTTAAACACAATAAAATGTCATACTAGCAGGACATGAAGAAAAACTGTTGTGGAATACTATTTTAACTAGGCAAAGATGTGTTACATTTGCTTGTGCTGTGGAATATTACTTTAGCTGTGTAAAGATGTGTTGCTTCCGCCGGGTGGTGGTGGCGCACGCCTTTAATTCCAGCACTTGGGAGGCAGAGACAGGTGGATCTCTGTAATCTACAGAGCGAGTTCCAGGACAGAAAAAAAAAAAAACTGTCTCAAAAAAAAACAAAAAAGAAGGAAAGAAAGAAAAGACGTGTTGCGTTTGTTTCACCTTGCCTGCCTAACACACCTAATTGGTCTAATAAAGAGCTGACTGGTCAATATCTAGGTAGAGAAATCTAGGTTAAAAAAGAGGAGAAAGTAGAACACACTCAGGGCAAGAAGTCAGGCAGCTACTAGCCAACCAAACATAGAGACAAGAAAGTAAGTAAAGGTAAAAAGTCCCAAGGCAAAAGGTAGATAAAGAGAAATATGTTAGTGTCAAGTTGGGAGCATAGGCCCCTGCCCCTCACATCTATTCCAGCCACCGGCCTGGTCTGGACTCCAAATCCCAGCAGGCCAGGTCCTGACCCCTCCCTGGGGGTGGGGACAGGGCAACTTTTCCCCAGGGTATTTAAGTGATTTCTCCCCACCCCCCAAAGAGGAACACATGGTCTCCCTTTCTTCCTCCTGGGTGTTCTGCCCGGACTTCCTGGTTCCCCCTCGGGGCAACCCAAGAGCACAGAACTTCCATTAAACCTGGATACTTCTTAATTCGGCTTGTTTTGATTTGGCTTGATTGGAAATATTGCGTCAGCAGGGAGCTCGCATTAGTAAATATTCCTAACAGCACACGCCTTTAATTCTAGCACTTGGGAGGCAGAGACAGGGGGATCACTCTGTACACCAATGTACAGAGTGAGTTCCAGGACAACCAGGACTGTGACACAGAGAAACCTTGTCTGGAAAAACAAAACAAAAAACAAATGAAAAAGAAACAGTTTTTTTTGTTAAATATTTATTGATTTATTATATACACAGTATTTTGTCTGTGTATATGCCTGAAGGCCAGAAGAGGGCACCAGATCTCATTACAGATGGTTGTGAGCCACCATGTGGTTGCTGGGAATTGAACTCAGGACCTTTGGAAGAGCAGGCAATGCTCTTAACTGCTGAGCCATCTCTCCAGTCCCAAAACAGGTTATTTTAAGTTAAAAGAGCTAGCCTAAACTAGGCCAGTTACTCAAAACTAATAATAAGTCTCTGTGTCATGATTTGGGAGCTGGTTGGTAGACACCCCAAAAAACCTGTTTACACTGGACTCACTCAAGAAACTTCTTTAAGAAGTGATTAGGGCTGGAGAGGTGGCTCAGTGGTTAAGGACACTTGCTGCTCCTCTAGAAGATGCAAGTTCAGCCCCCAGCCCCCGCGTTAATGGGCTCACAATAGTCTGCAGCTCCAGTTTCAGGGGTCGGAAGCCCTCCTCTGCACACGTGTGGCACACACTTAGAAGCACAAATTAAAAAAAAAAAAAAACAAAAACAAACTTCGAATCTCTTTGAAACGGACAATAGGACAATAGGGATGCATATCTTTAATTCCAGCACTCAGGAAGAAGAGGCAAACTGGTCTGTGAGTTCCAGGCAGGCCAAAGCTATAAGTAAGACTGTCTCAAAACAAAACAAAAAAGAACCCAAATAACAACAAAGAACCCATTCCAACAAATAGAAATGTAGGTACAACAAAATTCTTGTTTGGGTTGTGAGAGCAGGTTTTGGGTCCATCATTCCCATCATAATCTAAGAAGATAACCCAGGCCATGCTGTGGTGGTGCTCAGCTTTAATCTCAACACTCAGGAGTACCTATATTCAAGACCAGCTTGGTCTGCAGCATGAGTTCCAGGACAGACAGGGCTACACGGAGAAGCCCTGACTCAAGGACTCCCCACCACCAATATATTCAGGACAGTATTCAGAATTTGATAAAATCATATTCTTTCTCAAAGACATGGTTTTGGCAAAGTCCTCTCAGATTACCAGGATTATAATCCCCACACCGGATTTAGTGATAGTCCAGTCTTCACCCTTTAGGACCTTCTCATTTTGTGAGGTTAGCTGGTATTAGGAAATATTATTTTAAGATGTGTTACATTTGTTTATGCTGTGGAACATTTGTTTACTGATGCAAAGATGTGTCGCATTCTTTTATGTTGCATTTGTTTAACTCGGGGTTAAAGCTGTGTTACTTTGTCTAAAACACCTGACTGGACTACTATAGAGCTGAACCGCCAATAGCAAGGCAGGAGAAACGATAGGCGGGACAGGCAGGCACAGAGAATAAATAAAAGGAGAAAGAGGGAGGGGCAGGAGCACGGAGAGGAAAATGTTAGGGTTCTACTACCTCAGCCAAAGGGTAAGCGTGGAAGTAAGATTAAGAAAGAGGAAAATCTCAGAGACAAAATGTAGTCAGGATAATTTAAAAAGGAAAGCTGGCTAGAAATAAACCAAGCTAAGGCCAGGCATTTATTAGTAAGAAAAAGTCTCCATATGTGTTTATTTGGCAGCCGGGTAGCAGGCCCCCCAAAGAGTCCAAAGAATAAAAAAAAGAACCAACAAGATGGTGGAAGTCCAGATAATTTACTAAGCAGCAGCATAGATTATGAGCATCTACTGTACCCCGAAAATGCCCACAATCTCTTGGGCACCATGGGACTACCAGTTTCAAGCCTTTCCTCCGCTGTTTAGGCTGCCCTACTAAGATTCGAACTCTTATCACCCCGACTCCATCCCCAAAAGAAGCACGTGGAAGCCCAGGATGGCCCGTACACCATGCGTTACCCACGCCCCTCGCCTTGGCCGTCTTGCTAGAAGCCAGCGGCGAACCAGATACGTGGGTAGGGGGACAGGGTGCAACAGTAGGCCCCGCCTGGCTGGCTGGCAGCGCCCCGTGGAGCAGGAGGGAGGGGCACGTGCAGCTTGTCCAGCAGGCGCCCGCACCTCGGGAGCTGGCACTCACCACCCGCCCGCACACAAAGCCCACTCGGCGAGCTCGGCGCTCGGCTCCTCAGGCCTGTGCCGCCGCTCTCAACCTGAGGCCTCCAGGTTGGGCGCCGGGCCCGGGCAGGCATCAGGCGTCGAGCCTCGGCGCGCATCGAACCGCCGCGGGCGGGAGTGCAAGGGGAGGAGTGGGCCGCGGGGGGTGGGGTGGAGGAAGCGGCCTCGAGCTGAGGAGGGAGCAATTGAATTTCAAACACAAACAAGCGCACGAGCGCGCCCCGAGCCGAGCGTTGCCCACCGCGCCCGCCCCGTCCGAGCGGCGCGCGGGCGCAGACGCCGTGGCTGCTCCGGAGCTCGTGCCAGGGGCCACCATCGAGGCGGGGGCCGCGCGAGGGCCGGAGCGCAGCGGCGCCACAACCGCCGCACGCGCAAACTTGGGCTCGCGCTTCCCGGCTCGGCGCGGAGCCCGGGGCGCCCGCGGCCCCGCCATGTCGCGATCCAACCGGCAGAAGGAGTACAAATGCGGGGACCTGGTGTTCGCGAAGATGAAGGGTTACCCACACTGGCCGGCCCGGGTGAGCAGTGGGGCTATCGCGGGCCCTGATGCGGTTGCATAACGATCGGGAGGGCTCGGTCGCCAAGCGCAGAGCGGGCGGAGGGGCAGGGGCCCCGGGCCTGCTCGCCCTGGTGGGAGTCCTCCACCGCTTACATAACGGAGATGGCGGGGGCCAGCACCTGGCCGGCGGCGCCGCGTGCTCAGTCCGCCCGCAACTCTCCTACCGGCCGAGGCTTTGGGCGCACGGTCGGGGAGTGGCCCGGTGGTGAGTCGCTTCTTCTGGCGCGATTCCTAACCCCTTCGGGGAGCCCCGAGTCTCTATTGATAGTTGCCTTCAGTTCGGATTTCTCTTTCTGGGCAAACGGTTGCGAAGGGTCCCAGTCCACAAAGGGTTAAGTGGAGGGAGAGCTGTCGTCTAGCAAACTTTCTTCGAGTATTTTGTAGGAAATCTGAAGTTGGGAGGTCGTGGAGTGATTGAGGGGACTTAAGAAATGGTCTGCCTATGTGTAACTCTGCTACAACCCGTTAGCCTTCAGCTTTACGAGAACATCCCTCCATATGCCGCCAGCTCCGATTTGGAACTGTAGGCAGCAGGGCCTCGTGTGCTTGGGAAGACCAGTACAGATCACTTTGGTGAGGCGGGGGATTGCCTCCGCAGCACTCCAGCGAGCCTCTCCCAGAGGCCCGTGTCGGCCATGTGGTTGTTGCAACCCGCCAACAGAAGGGCCTTCCCCATTCCAGCACCTGGCCAGGTGGGAGGGTGGGGCCGAAAGCCTGCTGTGTTGATCACCTTTCCTCCAAGGGAAAGGTTAAGTGAGTGTGTGGGTGCTTCTGGCAACTTCAAAGTGAATGTAGAGGGGCCCTTGGTACTGGCTGAAGACATGACTCAGCCCCTAGGGTGTGGAGTTTGTGTAAAGCGAAATCCTAGGGCAGAAAGGCCTGAAGGAGGGGTCCCGAAGCAGGATTGCTTTGAGGCTTTTGCTTTTCCAGCATGGCTGACTGATCATCTGGCTCAGGAAGTTCCTCCATGCTCTCTTGGTTACTATTCAGGGTGTTGGGCCAGCTTGATGATTGAGAAAACCCAAGTAGTCCTCCATACTCTTCCCCCTCGCAGAGTGTGTCCAATCCCATTTGCCTGAGCTCCTTGCTCTCAAACTTTCAAGTGGGTCAAATAAGGCCTGGCCTCTGGCTTGGGAGTGAAGCGCAGAGAGAAACCAGACTCGGTTCCAGAGCCTTAGAAGGGCTTGACTGAAGCTAGGTGCGCGCTCGCTCTCTCTCTCTCTCTCTCTCTGTGTGTGTGTGTGTGTGTGTGTGTGTGTGTGTGAGAGAGAGAGAGAGAGAGAGAGAGAGAGAGAGAGAGAGAGAGAGAGAGAGAGATGTGAACAGTCATGTACTTTACCCTGCACTGGCTTCTTGGGCAGGGCAAGAATTGAACCCAGGTCTCTACTACTGCTTCCCCTTGCTGGCGGTTCAGTGGTAAGCTATGCCTGAGAAAGGAGAAATACTTATGAAGTGTAGAGTTAGGGATCTTGTGGTATGTCTTATTCCTTGAGACCTATTGCTCTATGAGAAAGCCCCTCTGATTTCTGGTGACCTTTGGCTAGAAGACACCGTGGAGCAGGGATACCATCCGTACCATCCGTATGAGCTCCAGGACAGAAGGGTAGGACAGAGAGGCAATTTCTTTCTCTATTGAGGCCTCAACCTCAATAGAGATAGAGTTGTAAGTGTGTCTCAGAGATAGGCACCCTAACACTTGGCTGGCTTGGTTGTGACACTTAAGGGGTTCCCAAAAGGAGAAAGCAGTCTGTCTCCCAAATCCCAGTTCCTTAGAACCTGTCTTAGCTCTTTCTGAGGTGTAGCCAGAATCTTCAGCCCTGATGCAGGTCGCCTCTTGCACCTTGCTTCCCTCATTTCTGCTTCTGGGAAAAGACTAAAAGGGCTTGAGATTGAAGTCATAGGGGCCACATGGTAGCAGGCCTGACTGGAAGAATGCCTGATGGATGACTCCATCTTACCCTCTTCCCTCTTCTTCCGCCTGACTTCCTGGAGGATCTCCAGTCCACCCTGGGTGCCTTTCTCCTCTCCCAATCCTGGAGACGCACGCTCCGAGCAGTCTAGAGCCTCCCTCCTGACTCTTTTGGCCTTGCCACACTGAAGTGCCTCCTGTACTGGACATTCTGGTTCCCTTGGTCAAGTCAGCCAGATGAGCTAGTGTGTTCCTAGCTTTCCTCAGCCTTCCTAAATGCCCGGTGATCTTGGACCAGCTCTGAGTGCTGTGGGCATGGTGTTCAGTTCTCCCTGCTCCTGTGAACACTGCAAATGGCTTCAAAGGCCTCTGGCCTGGACAGGGTGGGGTTTCTAGTGTTTGGGGCCTGTCTGATGGAAATGCAGAGGAGTTTCAGAATCTCCTTCCAGGTGGCTAGAGGAGGAAGTGTGGTAGGGTTCCCAGCACATCTGGCCCCACCCTGGTTTACTCTCCTTTGACTCAGGGAGTTTAGTCACCACCTGGGAGGCAGATCCAGGACAGACTTCTTTGAGACTGACATGGAAGAGCTGCCGTGCACATCCAAGCCCCAGGAAAGACAGTTGCTCCTTTGTAGCTGGAGGGTAGGGGTGCTGCCACAGAAGTGATTTCTCCTCTTTTGGGGGGGGGGGATTGGAAAAGCTATTGAGCGGAAAGCATTCCCATCCCCCAATCCTACCTGCTACACCTACGTATAATAGGGTTGTTCGGAAATGAGCCTCTTAAGGAAGAGGCCTATCTGCTCTCATTCCTCCACACCCAACCTTTATGTAGCTGTAAGTTGGCAGGACTGGTGGAGTTGGTGTGTCCAATTCCATCCAGCCTTGTGTCTAGGACTGGGCGGCTAGAGGCCTCCTGGGTCCCCTGCCACACGATTAGATTGTGCCTGTTGTTTGCTCTCCATGGGAAGATGAGGCGTTTCAGTCGGTGTTCTTGGAGTCTCCTAACCCTTCCTCCACCCTCTTTCTTTTAGAGTCTCCTCTCTTCCCTTTCATTACACTGGATTACCGGGCTGAAAGCACAGTGACGCCCTGACGTGGGTGTGGGCTCCCCAGCACTTCAGCCTGGATCCCCACTCCCGCATAGGTGTCCGGCCTGTGAGAGCCTTGCTATCGTTGTCCTTTACTTGTCTCCTGGGATTTCCTAAGCCCTGGAGGCCACCCCCCCCCCCCCCGTGCGTGCGTGCGTGTGTGTGTGTGTGTGTGTGTGTGTGTGTGTGTGTGTGCGCGCGCGCGCGCGCGCAAACCTCCTCTGAGAAGAGAGGGGGGCTGGCTGATAACTGAGTCAGGTATCCTGTCCAGTTCCTCCCCGTCCCCACCCCTTAGAACATGTCCCCCTCCCCCTTTGCTTTCTAGTCCTAGCTTAGTTTCACGTACAGCCCAAGACCTGCGTGCCAGATTACGGGCTTTAGTGTCCCCTCCTCCCCAATTCTGGATGGCAGGCCTGGGGGGAGGGGTGGTCACATTCCTGGTGGCTGAGTGGCCCCGGAGGGGCGGAGTTGAGTTGTCATAGTGATGGGGATCACGGTTGTGGGGGAACTGCGTGCCTTTCCACCAGGTTCCCACACCCCAGCATCTCCTGATTCTTGGGCTGGGCCTAGTTTGACTTGTGCTTTCCTAGGGGGAGGGGCTGGCCGAAGTCCCCAGAGGCCACGGGGCAAGGGGGAGGGGCCCAGAAGCCTAAAGACTTTCAAGTCTGGGGCAAGATGACCTTCCGAGTCATACCACTCAGCTCATTCTAGTCACAGCCTCCCTGTCTCCTCAGTGTTCCCAGTGGGCCCTCTTTCTCTAACCACTGCCTTGGCCTTCCTTTTAGGTTTGTGTCTGCAGCCTCAGCCAACATGGCCACCTGGCCTCTGGAGGAGGGCGGGCATTTGGGAGTGTTGCAAGGATTGCTGGGAGTTGTAGTCCCTGCCCCAACAGTTTGGCTTGGCCTGAACTTCAGGACAATCCGAGGCTAAGCTGGCCAACTGTTCTATCTTGATTTCAGACTTTAACCTCATCACTTACTACCTTCACTGCAGAATTCCTCCTGGGTCATCGGGCAAGCAATCTCAAAAAATTAGGTCTAGATTGAAAAGATGCCTTGGTGGTTAAGAGCACTGGCTGCTCTTCCATAGGACCTGGGATTCTATTCTCAGCGTCTACGTGGCAGCTCACAAAAAACCTGTCCTTTTTGTCCTCTTCTGGCTTCCTTAGGCATTCATGAGGTATACAGGAATAACATTGTGGAAAACGTGTGTATGTGTGTGTGTTTAAAGAAAATTAGAACCTGGTGGTGGTGCAGACCATTTAATTCCAACACTCTGGAGGCAGAGGCAGGGGGATCTCTGAGTTCAAGGCTAGCCTGATCTAATCCCAGGATAGCCAAAACTATACAAACAAACACTCTCCCAAAAAAGGGGGGGGGTTAGGCTTGAAGTCTGGTCCTTATTATAATGTGTCTTTTTTTCCTTGGGAAGGGCGTGTCTTTCTTGACTCAGCATCCCTATCTGTAAAAAAGATTTTACTTATTTTAGTGACTTTCAAAGTTTTCAGAATTATTTTAACTGGCTTTCAAGGCCAACCTAGTCTGTAGAGTGAGTTCCAGGACAACCAGGACTACACAGAGAAACCCTGTCTGGGAAATAACCCGAAAGATAGATAGATAGATAGATAGATAGATAGATAGATAGATAGATAGATAGATAGATAGATAGATATAGATGTAATAAATAAATAGATAAATAAATGTAGATAAAAATAAAATAAAACTTTTATATTTATTTGTTTTGGTGGTTTGTTTATGTTTGATGCAGAGTCTCACTATGTAACTTTGACTGTCCTGGAACTCAATATATATACAAGACTGGCTTTGAACTCAGAGATCTGCCTTCCACTGCCTCCCAGAGTACTGTGATTAAAGGTGGGCACCACAATGCCTATCAGGATTTCAGAACTGTATCACCAGGCCTGACTCACGTGTGCTGGAGATGCAAGCCGACCTGATCTGGGTGTGGTGGGTACTACTTTGGACAGCAGAATCATGAGTTCTAGCCTGAGCTATATATGGTGAGATCTTGTCACCAAAAAAAAAAAAGAAAAAAAAAAGAAAAGAAGAACAGATAGCTCACAAAAATATCCACCAAGTAATGAGTGTGTTTGTAAAATGGGAACTGTACAGGGTGTGTCCTAGGGGTCCCCTGGTCAGAGATGAAGCTTTCTGGGGGGCATGATGGTGGGGTTGAAGCTGCTCAGAAAGAATTTTGTAAACCTGACAGGCCGACAGGAAGGGCAGTATTAACTTCTCTTTAAACACCCCCAACCCTGTGACTTAAATTGTGACTCAATATTTTACAGATGGGAAGCAGGCAGAGGCTCACCAATCTATCTAAGGCCAATTTCTAAATGTAGCTGAGCAGACATTCAGATTTAGCTGGATATGGTGGCGCACACCTTTAATCCCAACACTTGGGAGACAGGCAGGTGGATCTCAGTGAATTTGAGGCCAGCCTGGGCTACACAGAGGAACCCCTGGTAGTGGGGAGTTCCGACTTTGCATTGAGAAGGAGTGGGCAGAGATCATGAGAGAGTTGAGATTCTTTGACATTTTATAATTGGAGATGGGTATGTGACTGAGGCAGGAGGATCAGGCTGGACTGCATAGCAAGAAAGACACTGTCTCAAAATACAAAGAAGTAACAGTATTGGTCTTAGGAGTGGCAGAGAGAATGGCACTTTGGCCAGGATTGGACACTGGAGATGTTCTCTGAAGGAGAGTGGAGTCGCCCTGGGTTTGTTAGACTTTCCCGTTAGTTTAATTTGGACAAGTTGTACTACTAGCCATGTTTTGCAAATTGGGTATTCTCTGGAGTCCTGTTCTGTCTGGCTTTATACAAACATCACCTTGCCCAGAATGAGGCCTTGGGACTCAAACTCACATCTTCTCTTCCTTTCTTGCCCTAGATTGATGAGATGCCTGAGGCTGCTGTGAAATCAACAGCCAACAAATACCAAGTCTTTTTTTTTGGAACCCACGAGACGTGAGTGAGGGGACAGTGGGGTGCAGCTGGGACACTGTGGGAATACCATTGTGGGGAAAGGGGGGGTGATGATATCTGTCCGTGTCTGGCATTTAGCTTGGTGGCAGCTTGGGGCTTGAGAGCACAGTCTCCCATCTCTCCCCAGGGCATTCCTGGGCCCCAAAGACCTCTTCCCTTATGAGGAATCCAAGGAGAAGTTTGGCAAGCCCAACAAGAGGAAAGGGTTCAGCGAGGGGCTGTGGGAGATCGAGAACAACCCTACAGTCAAAGCCTCTGGCTACCAGGTGAGCAGAGCCCTGGAAGGCAGGTGTATGTGGGTCCAGGAGCCTTGCCTAGAATCTAAAGGCCTTTGGGGTGGTCGCGATAGGACTTCTCGAGAGACGGACCTGGAGGGTGTGGGGTTACTTGTAGTTAGAGGCCACTGCTGATGGCATTGAGGACAAGAATAGGATGGACGCGGTAAGTGGGGTAAGCCTTTGTTGGGCCCATTGTTAATAAGAGGACACAACCTTCCAAGAGGAGGTTCTTGTGAGCCGGGCAGGACAAGGCGGGAGGGCAGGGGGAGCGGGGTCGTGGGGAACGGGTCCCAGATCCCTTTGGGAGAAGTTGACCCGAGGTTTTGCCTCCTGCTCCAGCCCTCCCCCCTCCTGCACAGAGCCCTGCCTGCCCGGCCTGTGGGTTAACCCCAGGGCTAACCAACAGAGGTGGGTCTCAAATCACTTGTGAGACTGGGCACCTGGGTGGGGGTGGGGGAGAGGTGGGCAGAAGAAGGAGTGAGTGTCTAGGGGGTGGTTGGGGAGGGACTAGTCTCCGGTGCCACTCCGCCCTGATGTCTTCACAGTCCTCCCAGAAAAAGAGCTGTGTGGAAGAGGCTGAGCTGGAGCCTGGAGGCCCCGAGGGCGACGGGGACAAGAAAGGCGGCGCAGAGGGCAGCAGCGATGAGGAAGGGAAACTGGTCATTGATGAGCCGGCTAAGGAGAAGAACGAGAAGGGGGTGCTGAAGAGGAGAGCAGGGGACATGCTAGAGGTAACTGTCAGGATGTGCCTGCAGCATTTTCTGGGGATCCAACTGAAGAGTGGGGCACAGGTTTTCTGGGTGGCAGAAGGTAGCTGGACAGTGAGTAGCACTCTGGAAAGAGGCCCTGAGGAGGGGTGTAGGCACAGGGAGATTAACTGTCTCTAGTCTCAGTTGATGTCCTCTGGCAATCTGTCCTAGGACTCCCCTAAACGTCCCAAGGAGTCAGGAGACAATGAAGAGGAAGAAAAGGAGGTGGCTACCTTGGAGGGTGAGAGGCCCCTACCCGTAGAGATGGAGAACAGCACCCCCTCTGAGCCAGACTCTGGCCGGGGACCTCCTCCAGAGGAAGAGGAAGAGGAAGACGAGGAGGAGGCTACCAAGGAAGAGGCTGAAGCCCAGGGTGCCAGAGACCATGAGAGGTGGGTGAGCTAGCTTGGCGGTGGGCTGGGAGGGCACAGCCACACCTGGAGAGGAGGACATAGAAGAGGGTGTGCAGTAGTCAGGCTGTCTGGAGGCTGGGGGGGGCTCTTCCAGAAGACCTGCACTGGCTGGGGCAAGGCCAGGCCAAGGCCATACCATTAACCCTTCTCCCTCCAACCCTCCCCTGCAGCCTGTAGCCACCAATGTTTCAAGAGGAGCCCCTGCCCCGTTCCTGCTGCTGTCTGGGTGCTACTGGGGAAACTGGCCATGGCCTACAAACTGGGAACCCTTTTCCCACCCAACCCACTCTCCTCCTTCACTCAGTTTCTCCTTTTTTAAGCCCACCTCCTGGAGACTGGCTTGATCTTCACTCCAGTTCCCTGTACCCTGTGACCTGAGTCAGGGCCATGTGCTCTGGAATGAGATGAGGCCGTTATCTCCTTAGATTTGTCTCCTAGGACTTGCGTTGGGGTCTGGGCTGCTGTTTCCACCTCTTGGCACCTTTGCCCTCCTTGCAGGTACTCTAGACCTTTGGGCTGGGCGGGGCAGGAGAGGGGTAATGGAATATTAACTTGAGTATGGGTTCTTGGGTGGCATCTCCTGAGCTCGTGCTCTTACACCTATTTGCCCATCTGCCCAAATTCAAGAAAAGGGGACACTGGGAAAGAGGCTCCCATCTATACATCCTTTGATGATTTTGAGAACTTTTTTTTCACCCTGAACCCTAGGGTTCAAGGAATTATAGTTTAACATCAAGACTTTGGGGTTTCCACATGGTTAGGGTCAAGGACCTGGAGAGCTGATGATCTGAAAGATTGACTCATCATTTGTAGTCTCTCTAGATCTCAGGTCAGAGATGGGTAACGGGGGGGGGGGGGGGGGGGGGGGGGGGGGGGCTGCTGCCTTCTTCCCCCTGAGCTCCAGGCCAGCCTCTAGTCAGATACATCACCCAGACAGAAAGGAAAAGATAAATTTTTTAGGAAATGTTTTTAATAAAAGAAAATTACAAAAAGGAAAAAAAAACCCAACCTGTTAATCCCAACCCTTTGTGTGCCCCCCACTACTGACCCGTTTCTGGGGTGCACTGGGAGGCTCCCTTTCTGTTCGAGTTGATGACTCCTTGGAGCTGGTCCTCTGGTGATGGCACACATCCAGCTTGTAGCCCACTGAATACCAGGGAAAGTGCTCTCTCCCAGCCTCTTATGGGGTTCTTACGCCCCTTCCTTCTTTTGTTCCTATCCCTCCCTTGGGCTCTGAAGAAAAATTGCTGACTGTAGCTTTGGAAGTGTAGCTCTGAGAACCATAGACAATTTGAATTCTAGGAAAATAAAGCCGTTGATTACTATCCTGGATCCTGACTAATTGTTTTTGAGTGTTTGAGTTAACTGGAGAGGGGAAGGGAGACAAGTCGACCCCTTCCTCGCTGTCCATTCCCACACGAGACTACACAAACCGACACCATCCATTCTACTCTTGCAAGTGTCTGGGAGGGTCAAAAACATCTATATAATTTTTTTAGGTATATTTTATAGGTGTTTTGCCCACATTTACGTATGTGTATCACATGCAAGCCTGGTACCCGAGGAGGTCAAAAGAAGCCATTGAGTCCTCTGGTACTGGAGTTGTGGCAACCAAACCCAAGTCCTCTGCAAGAACAGCAACTGCTTGTTGAGTCTTTTCTTCAGCAACTAGCCTAACATTTTTGAGCCAGATGTGATAGCACAAATCTGTATTCTCACCAGTGGGAAAGTAGGAGGATCATGAGTTCAGTGCCAGCCTGGGCTGTACAAAAAGCCCATGTTCAACCCCCTCCCCCATGTACACATTTAAAAAAATGGAATAAGAAATAGGTTTTAAGGGGCTAAGGATATATACATAAAGACACACATACCTCAGTTGGTAAATTGCCTAGTATTCACAAATCAGAAGCCCTGGATTTGGCCCCCAGCCACAGCAAAAAGCAGGTGTGATGGATACATGGCTATAATCCCCAGCACACCGAAGATGGAGGAGGGGGTCAGAAGTCTATGCTTTCTACACAAGCCAGATGACCTGACTTTTCTTCCAGAGACCAGAAAAGCTGGGTGTGCTCTTAGGCACAGAAAAGAGACTCATCTGGTCATCTGTCACCTGCCTCAACAATCTAGAAGATGTCCTCTAACCTCCACAGGGGTGTGGTGGCACAGGCGCCTGCCTGCACTAATGCAACCAGGGCCTTGCTAAGTTAAATCTCTAATCTCACTAAGTAAAACTTTAAAAGACAATTTGTAAGAAAGTAGAAAAAATAAAATAACAAGAACCCATACTATATGGTAATTGTAGAGTTGGTTTAACAGAGTAGTTGTTCTTCTAGAGGACCTAGGTTCAGTTACCAGCACCTGTACTGACCCAGAACCATCCATAACTTCAGCTCCAAGGGATCAAATACCCTTTTCTGACTTACCTTGTACCAGGCACACATGTGGTACATACAATACATGGAGGCAAAATATTCATACACCTAAATCTAAATTTTTATTACATTTTACTTTGTGTGCCTTTGTGAAGATCAAAGGACAATTTTCAGGAATCCGTCTCTACCATGTGAGACCCAGGTCATCATGCAGGTAGGTGCCTTTACCCACTGAGCTATCTGACCAGCCCAATAAATATAAAAATTATTTTAAAGTCAGGCGGTGGTGGTGCACGCCTTTAATCGTAGCAGAGGCAGGTGGATCTCCCAGTTCAAGGCCAGCCTGGTCTACAGAACTGAGTACCAGGACAGGCTCCAAAGCTACACAGAGAAACCCTGTCTCAAAAAGCAAGATCATCTGCAGGTGTGCAGCAAGCTTTTGTGTGGGTATTCATGAGGTTGGTTATATAGAGATGCTTGAGGACTCAAAAAAGAGAAAGAGTGAAGAGGATCCACAAATGGTCATGGAAAGTGTGTGACTTGTCTGAGTCAGGGTCTCATGTAACCCAGGATACATTTTAACTATGGATGAGGATGACCTTAAAGTGATCTCTAAGTGCTGAGATTTCAGGTCTGCTTAGCCATCTCTGGTTTTTGTTTTTGAAAGAGGGTCTCCCTGTTGGTCTCAAACTCATGATCCTCTTGTCTTAGTCTCTAAAGTCTGGGAAAAAGTGAGTGTTTGGTTTGGTTCTAGAAAAGTCTTGGACCTTCAAGAGCAAGCCACAGTTTAGGGAGGATAAGTTAACCATTTGATGCTATTTAGGTTGCTAACCACGCTTCAGCTTGGATTAGCTAGCTGGGTGGTGTACACCTGGGATCTCTCAGCACAAGGTCAGCCTGGTCTACATAGTGAGTTCTAGAACAGCCAGGGCTACATCATGAGACCCTGTCTCAATAATAAAACAAGGCTTCTAGGCAAGAGTTACCACTTTCTTTTTTCCCAAAAAGGTTGATAGTTTCTCTGTGTAACAGCCCTGGCTGTCCTGGAACTCACTTGACCAGCTAGCTGGCTCTAAACTCAAGAATTAATGACTTATTTTTCCCTTGGATATTTGAGACAGGGTTTCTCTGTGTAGCTTTGGAGCCTTCCTGGTAAAGGTGTGTGCCACCACTGCCAGACTGAATTCATGACTTTTTTTTTTTTTTTTTGTTTTGTTTTGTTTTTGAGACAGGGTTTCTCTGTGGTTTTGGAGCCTGTCCTGGAACTAGCTCTTGTAGACCAGGCTGGTCTCGAACTCACAGAGATCCGCCTGCCTCTGCCTCCCGAGTGCTGAATTCATGACAATTTCAGTGTTCACTTGAAGGTCTGCAGATGGCTTGGCAGTTGCAAAGGAAGCTGGTTGGGCTCCCAGCACGTCAGGCAGCTCACAACTACCTGTAACTCCGGTTTAAGGGCACCCAATATTTTCACCTTCTGGCTGCCACAGGCACCAGCGCACATTTCCTACACTTAAGCCGTCGTGGGGAGTGCCGGGTCTTTTAGAGTTCGAGGCCAGCCTGGTCTACAGAATGAGTTCCAAAATATCCAGGGCTAGGGCAGTTGAAGAGATGGTTCAGCACTGACTGTTTCTTCAAAGGATGCAGGTTTGATTCCCAGCACCCACATGGCAGCTCGCAACTGTAACTCCAGTTCCAGGGGACCCGACACCCTCACAGACATACATGCAGGCAAAGAACCAAAGCATGTGAAGAAAAAAAAAACGAAGGGGAAGGGGCTATACAGAGAAATCCTGTCTCAGGAAAAAATTAGGAAGGTACATAAACATAAATAAAATCTTGAGAAGAAAGATGCAGTGAACACTAGGGGTCGGGTCAGTCTGGAGCATCACATAAACCAGGCTTGATTATGAACCCCAGCACCTAGGAAGTGAGGGCAGAAACTAGCAAGTTTGAGGTGAGCCTGGGCTACATGAGACTCAGAAAACAGTTGAGGCCGGGCGGTGGTGGCGCACGCCTTTAATCCCAGCACT